CTTGGGCTAGGTAAAGCACAAGACAGAACCTCCATAGAAAAATTTTCCAGAGAATGTTCTCTTGGTTAGAGATCATGATAAAGCCACTTTTTCCTCCTCCCAATCTCATGTAAGTAACTTCAGGAACCTGGACCTTGGAATTATAGACACAAATATTCTGCCATGTCAGTTTGGTTTTGGTCTACATAGCTCTGTGTTCCCTCAACCTGGTAACTTTGTGTTGTCATATTGCTTTTTCTCTTCCATCTCTCTGCAGGGACATGATGCCCCTCTCATCAGGATCACCCACATGGTAATGAGGTAGGGAGAACACATTGCTTAATTTTTCTCCAAGCCATCCTCATTCGGGCAGCAGGGACTATGAGTAGCCACAGAGGTGATGATCCCCCCTAACCCACAAAACTTCCTTTCTAGGTTCACACTAAACATAGGCTTCTCTGTTATTGCAAGACTACCAGAATGCTATGCCAGAATGCTATTAGTTTTCTACAAAGACACCTTCATTTCCTAGGAGCATGAGCTGGGGAGGCCCAAATAACCTAGATGCTACTAGGTAACACAATCACTAGCTAGGAAGAACCCAGAATATGCTAGTCTAGCATTTGGCACTATGTACACTTTAGTAAATCTGAATGTCTTCAGGATTCCATAGTCAAAAGATAACAATGAGATGAAAGGTAGTGTCATATAGAGGCATTGGCTGGCTGGCTGATCTCAATAAAGGGACCTCTCTTCTGTGGGCCTGATTTCCTTACTTGCAAAAGGATAGCGATAGTCTCCAAGACCCCTTCCAGTTCTACCATTCTATGATTCTGTGAGTCAAGACTGTTATATTTTAAGTGTATCCAGAATGTATTAATTCAGTCACATTTATTGACCACCTACTCTACATAGGGTCTGGTGGAAGGCACCGTGGGGGGCTATACAGACATAGGAGATAGTCCCTGACATTGAAAGAGCTCAAAGTGTAATAATCATAGAATTTAGAAATCTAAGAAATGTCATATGATGATGTGTTAAATGAGCAGTATGTACAATTAGTCCTACAAATGCAGAAATTACTGGAAAGGTTTCATGAAGGAAGACTCAAGAAGGGACTTGAAAGAGAGGCAGAATTTGCATAGACTAGAAGTGGGTCAATTATGAAGCAGCACTACAAAGCTTTTTTCAGTTCATCCAATTCAATGACTCTTCTACATATCAAAAGCACCTGCAAGGGTCAGTCCAACAGGGTTCGATAGTGCCTTGATACAATTTCCTCTACATACAGCACGATGAGGCATAAGTGCTGATCGTAGAAGCAAAGTGCTTCTACTTCAGGCGTCAAGAGTCACACAGTCATTCTTGTCACAAGAGAAGTCTGGGTACCTTGACCCCACCTGTAATCTGGTCATAAAGTTAAAAGAGACAGCTAGGAAGCCAATTCCAGAAGACAGTGCACTTGGTCCTTCCTCCAAGCTTTATCAGGAAGTTGAATTTAACTAAACACCACAATAGTCTTTGAGTAGCTGGACACCTCACAGTTGTCAGTGCCATTCCACTATAATGTCCTGACATTACCGGCCAAGCTGGTGGCTACTTGTTCAGACAAGCTGGACAGGGTTTGGGCAGAAAAGAAGGAGAATGGTTCATGTGGTCAAAGCTGAAACTGGCATATCCACTCACATTTCCTAAATACCTCACCCTAAAAATAAATTAGGAAATCCTTTTTTTAAGCACTGCACAATTTTCACTCTGCTTTTAAATACATTTACCATAGTTACAGTTACATTTAAATATGAAATATATTTAAATACAGCTACCTACTGGTAATCCAACCATTCCTTTTCAGTGTGTATATTTTAATCTTCCAGACAAACACAACAGTTACACAGAATTTCAGACTCTCAGACTTGCAGGAGGCTTAGTGATAATCTAGCCCAATTTCCCATCCCAGGCAGGAATCTACTTTGCGACAGCAGCCCTGAGAGATGGCCACCGAATATCTCTGGAAACACTTCTAACAATACAGAGCTAGCTAGCTCCTAGATGGACAACCTTCTTTCATTTTATATATTCAACCTATACTGTCTGTCCACTGAAAATTACAGGTCCCTCCTTTGAGAAGTCTAAACATGTAAAGGCAAAATCCCAAAATAAAAAGATATCCACTGGCACTACTAATACTGCATGTTTTTCATCAAGGGGTGCCCACATGCCTGACCAGATTTCCCCAGCCATCTGGCTGACCCAGGGCTGTGCAATGGGCAGCTATAAATCAACTTGCACTAGTTCCTAAGCACCTGCTGCAGGCAAGACCCTATTACAAAACTGCAGGTCCAGATGTGCAGCAAGATCTAGACTTCCCTAAGGCAAAAATGCAGTGGCCAGAGGATGTGGAATCGACACTCCTCGACAATTTGAGGATGAAAATAGTCCTCTGTCACTGGTGGTTCAGATGCCCTCACCTGCCTGAAGGCAGGGGACTTGATCAGCTGATTTCCTGAGGTCTCCCTAAATTCTAATGCTAACAAAGGGGCCCATATTCTGCCCCCCAAATCCTATCCCCCACTGTGTGGTTGGTAGTGAATTATATACTCCAAAGGAAAAGGTCGACCAGAAAGCGATTGCATGCCTCAGAGGCATGCTAGTGTCCTTTGTACAGCCTGTCATTAGCTAGGCATAAGGCAGCCACCACCTAGAGTGTCAGTGTGTCTGCACGTGACACACACACACACACAAACACGTGCACGTGTGCACAAACAGATTCCACCACTCTCAGTAAAACGATTCATCACCAGGGTCCTCTCCCCTTTGGTCAGCTTTATGCTTTCCCATTCCACTCCTTCACTCACACGTTAACTTCTTTCTCCCTTCTCCTCTCCCTTTTCCCTCCCCCCAGCCCTACCCACAAACATATTTACTCTATCTGGGTGGCTCAGTTGGTTAAACGTTGGACTCTTGATTTCAGCTCAGGTCATGATCTCAGGGTTGTGGGATGGAGCCCTGCATTGGGCTCTGCGCTCAGCCCAGAGTCTGCTTGTCCCTCTCCCTCTGCTCCTGGCTTGCTTGCTCGCTCTCTCTCTCTCTCAAATAAATAAATAAATAAAATCTTTAAAAAAATATTTACTCTATCACACAGATAGCTGGAACTCAAGGCAGTTCACAGACAACCTTACCCTTCATATCTGAGGGCAAAGCACAAGAAATAACTTGGGAAAAAAAGTCATCTTGGTAGAAAACTCAACCTGCCTCCGTCAAACAGTAACTTGGCTAATTATAAGCTTCATCCCACAGGCAGTTTTGTTCAGAGGCTTCTGGGGCCTAAGTGGGACAGATCCAAATCAGACTCTGTCTGGCTCCCAGATACAAAAAGGGCCAAACGCCAATAGCTCCAAATTTCAAGTTCCCCTGGACCAGAGGTTTCCCGGACCCAGAATTACCAGCTCACTCAGGGCCTGAAAACAAATCTCATCTCTGTTTCAAATGGCTCCAACCACAAAAATTTAACTCTAAGATGGAAGGGTGTGGTGGCAGAAAGAGCTAGTGATTCAGCAGCAGGAGGATGGAAAGAGAGGGAGAATGATAGAGAGCAGAGTTCAGCTCTGTACTTCCAAAAAGCAGCAAGGCAGGAATCAAGAGAAAAAAACAAACAACTTGGAGAGAAGGGTGAGAGGGGAAACATTTTGTTTTAATGTTACACATACGCCTGCCTGACCGCACATGCTCACTTGTACCACACACAAGTACACACATAACACTCTCCACCATAAACCTCAGACTGGAAAGCAGCTAAGAAGCCATCACCAACCGACTTTGCCAAATACTTCACAAAGTCAGCAGCAACAGCAGCAGCAAAAGTGCCTTTGACAAAGAGCCTCTCTGACCTTCCTTTCCTAGCCCTGTTATAAACTGCCCCTTCCTCTCCCTGCTGTTATTCAAGCCAGCTTCAACCATCAAAAAGTCTGGCAAAGCAGCCTGAAAAATCACTCCTGATGCACTGGGAAAGCCTGGAGCCCTTACAAAAGAAGGGCAAAAATGAGCTCCAAGAGACCAGAGCTCATTTTAATTACCCACAGAGGCTGGCCAAGGAGCCCCCTCCTCCCTCCCATGGCCACGCCCCAGCATGGGAGCTCCATTTTCAGGTCATTCTAGTATATGAACTATAGCTGGCTCATATCAGGTGTGGCTCCCAGTCTACACACACACCTCTTGGCTCCTCAGAGCCCTCCTCATAATAATCCTAAACCAATTAGCATTGCTTCCATCCCTAGAGTATACAGTATTCTCAGCACACCCAGTAGTCATGCCATAGTACCCTAGAATCCCACTGGCCACCTCCCTAGAGCAGTGACCTATACAGGATTCAAACAGTGGCTCTAGTACTAGCTATTACATGGCAGAAAAAAATAACTCCAAGGCTGGTATCAGGCACACACAGAATACAGAATTGTTTATGTTGAGTGATCCTGAGTGAAACTCACATTTAATAAGCACATATGTACCACACATGCGGCTAGTTTGTGGCACAGTTGAGGCTGGAACTGATCTGTAGGTCCCCAATTCTGATGGCTTTTCAATTTAATCGCTAGCAGACAGCTGAGCCCTAAGGAAATAGGACCCAGAATAACAGAATAGATGAGTTTTGTGGTATCGAGTTATGACCATGAGGGCTGCCCCTAGGCCCAAAAGGGGTGGGGAAGAGGGAGTCTGCCACTAAGCAACTAAGGAGACCACTGAAAAAGAGAGGTGAATAACAAAGACAAATTCCTTTATTTCCCAAGTGTGCCAAGGGTAACGCCAAATCAGTGCTATAAAATTGGGGTCAAAGGTCTTGGCCTTTTTAGGAAGCAGGTACTCTGCTAAAAGCACAAAGAAATGAATTCGGTTGGCATGATCTAAGGACATTGCTCAAGAGGATAGTGCCATCCAAGGACCATCCACAAACTTCCCAGAAAGACGGTTCTTCCTCTAGACCCAAAGTAACCATAATCAGGTAACTCTACTCAATGGAAACTCACTCGAAGGCGAAGAAGAGTGTACATGTCCCCAGGATGAGGAAGAGGGTCAAATAGAAGATGCCCTTTTGCCGGGCCATCATGACTCGCCCATCACAGCAGAAGGTGTTCCTGCCTGGGAGTTTCTCCCATTTCCGTGTCACCTTCTTTCTCACCACCATCACAGACATGATTGGAATTCCTGGTCCAAAATGAGCTTTGTGATTACAAGAGGGAAGAAACAGAAGCTGAGCCCAGCTTTGAAATCACGATGCCTGCTATTGCTGCCGCGGGGTCAAACATCATCAAAAGTCCAATTTCTAGCCCTAAGAAAAAGCACAAAAGGAAAAAAAATGAGGCAGGAACAAGAAAATGCAGTTCAATCCTCCTTTCCCAGAGGTGGAAAGATGAGCACTGCCTGAAGGGGTAAGGGTAGGGAAGCGGGAAAAGTTTATTTCCAATCTGTGTTTGTCCCCTAAAAGGAGAAAAGGTTAAAGGTTCTCAAAAAAAAGGAAGGGGGCTAGCATATCGTCTTAAATAAATCCCTATGCTTCCAATATAATACTGTTCATTTGATCATCATAGAACCTTGGAACTAGAAGGGATTTTATGGGTGATAACCCCAATTACTTTGTTTTGGAAATGAGTAAAGTTAAGACCAAAGAGAGGAAATAACTTGTCCAGGGTCACACAGCTGCAAAGCTAAGCCAAGGAAACACATCTGCTGACTTCCAGTCCAGGGCACTTTCCAGTATACCACACTGTTCTATAATCATCAGTAAGAGGACTCTAAAAACAATAGTGGAGTTTCTGTCCTTAAGGAGCCATTCCCTCCCCTCCTCCACTTCACCTTCTTTCTTCAATTAGCCACTCAAATATGAATCACACCCGGGAACAAATCACCCTCTGGCAGGGCTAGGAGGTTCTGGACACTCTGTACACATACCCAGGTTGTATTTACTCAAAACAGATTTCCCCTAATCAAACCCTCTGTAACTTCCTGAGTTCGGGAAATGAACCAATCTTGCCAGTCTAGCCTAACATTTGTGGGAATCTTAATGAAACCACATCACAGATCTGTAGGTGAAAGGCTGACTTAAGCAGGAGAGGTTCTGGAATGGTTGCGGGTGGGGGTGGGTGGACATGGCAGCAGCTAAGAAAAGTCATAAAGGTGCTTGCTTTCTGGGACATTTCATAACTGCCATCTCTACTTGGCATCCTGAACCCCCAGGCCCAGCCTTTCTCAACCACTGCCACCCTTCTCCTCTCAGGTGTGGTGCTGTGGCTTCTGTTTACTGACACCACATGCCCCACGCTGGCAAGAATGAGGTGGAAGCCTGCAGCCCGCCTGACTGATGAGAAACAACCGACCCGAAATCATTCCGGGCTGGAGAGGGCAAGGGTCCAAATAGAAACCAGGAGATGAGCAGGGAAATGAGAAAGCAAGAAGGCTTGGCCAAAGGGAGGGAGCACCAGAGGTGCAGAGAACACTTCCTTTGTGTAAAACTAACCTGGAAAATAATCTCCTCCAGATAAACCGGCCCAGCGGGAGAAGAGAGACCAGGAAGGGGAGCCGGGCCCTGGGAGAACAAAGATCAAAATCCGTCGAGAGCCAGCGACCGGCCCACCAGCCGGGGACCGGAGGCCCGAGTCCTGGGCGGGCGGCGGGCGCGGCCTCGGGAGGCCAGCCCTGCCTCCGCCACGCAGCCGACCACCGCCCCAGGAAGGTTGGGACGCGCGCCACCTCCACACGCTCGTACACACTCACACACGCCCCGCCACGTGTAGTCACCCGCGGTCAGGGGCTCGGCGGCAGCCCCGCTGAGAAGGGCGGGTGCCTATGTCCGCGCGGCCGGGCGCAGCGGAGGGGTTGGCAGCCCACCATGCGGCCGAGCCCAGGAGACCCCAACCCCCACCCCTCGTTACCTGAACCCGGGAGACCGAACTCGGCCGGGAACTGAGGGCAGGAAGTGCACCGTCCCAGGGGAACGCGTCAGCTGCCAGGGGTGGCAGCGACTTCTCCTCCCCAGCCCGGAGGCTGCCTCCTCCTGACAAGGGGCCCCAATGGTCGGGGCCCTAAACCAGCTGTGGCAACCGCCCACCGCTGGCCGAATGGAACGCTCCTCACGTCACCAGGTCGTTCCAGTAGTTGCTCGCCCGCCATTGGCTGGTCGGCCTCGGCGCCTCCGCCCCTGCCTCCCCTGCCCCGAACTACCATTGGCTATCCCAAACGCCACTCGACGCTGCCTCCGCCCCACTCCCCCACCCATCTCCCGGCTTCGTGCCCACCTGCCAAGCCACTGCCAGCCTCCCTTTGGGGTCCGAGCGCCGCTGTGGGAAGTGTCGCTTTCTACTGATATAGTTATGCAGAGACGGAAGTGAAGGGTAGTGCTGATGGGACAAGGAGGGCTACCAGCCTCCTCTCACACACAGGGTGAGACGCTGAAGCAACACTGGCTCACAGATCCGGGTGCTCACCCCATACTAGGTCCGCCCTGGGCCTCGTCGGCCGTACGTGCATGAAATCAACCGCTACTCCGGATTTTACTCTTTTTCAGCATAAAAACAAGTCCTCTGCCTCCCAAGTCCCATTCATTAGTTAGGGACCTCACCTCTGTCCCAGTCACCCTGGCCTGCATCTCTAAGGCTTCTGCAACAAAACAAACAAACATAAAAAGAAACTTGAAAGGGATAGCTGTCCCCAGGAACGTAGAATCATTTTGCAGTACCGAAAACAAGTAATTGACTGTATGAAGTTAGAGAAACTCTACTGACAGGACTTAAATTCTTCCAGGTAGGAAATGAAGTAGGATTGCCAAGAAGGTTGTAAATTACTGTTCGCTTTGGAGAGCTTACGATAATTGGAGGGGGGCGGGGATCCAAGGCAGAATCCCCACCCACCAACCACATTGATTCTTTCCTTCTGCCTCCCCCCTCTGCAGCTACTGCCACAATGAGCCACTGCTACTGATCCAGAGTGAGCCGCATCCTTTAGAAGAAGTTCGAGACTGGAGTGGGAAAAACAGTTGAGAATCAGGGCATGAATATTATACAGCGGACTTTAAAAGACATTAGGTCTGTTTCCACTAGTATCGCTCTTGGCTTCCAAATATAAGGGGAAGTATGAGAAAGGGCTGAGGGTGGCCTCTCCTTACCCGTCACACTGTTGGGGACAGTGCCTACGTTGCTAGCTATTTTCCTGAACTTGAATCAAGTTTCTCTAGGGTGAGAGTATTTGCAATTAATACAGAGGAGACTGCCAAAGCTCTTCCCAAGGCAGCTCTTGTGTGTGTTAGTTGAAGGACCACGTACATGGTCAGGAACTATTTCTCCTTTACAGTATTTGGGTCCCACGTGATATTAAAAAAAAAAGCTATTTAATGATAATTACATTTGACACTTTCATGGTACCACCCTTCAATCAAAAATTTAAAAGGATTAAAAAATCACTAGGTAATTCTCTTATGAGAGAGATGTGTTATAATTAATTTGTAGGGTAAAGTATGTCTTTATAAAGCTTCTATTGTTCCTTAGCACTCATGCTGATTATAATCATTGCTTTATTCCCTATAAACTGTATGATCAGTATCATTGTCTCCAATTCTCCCCCTTTGAATCCTGGAGGGTGCTGGTATTGGGCACGCTTGGTATGGAAGGGAGAGGAACTTCCCTCAGCCCCATCAGACCCCTGGATTCTCAAGCCTGTGTACACTAGACTGTGTACACTATTCATAGCATGTTTACCCTAGCTGCCATCCCCCTGACTGTGGAGCAGTCACAAATAAATCTCTGCAGCTTCCAAACATACTTTGTGCATATCTCAGGCGCAGGTGAAGCCCAGGGAGTCCTGGAATCAATGTGTCACAGCAACACATTCCTGGGCTCTGCCCCACCCTGCTCTGGGTCACATCCCTCTGGGATTAAGTGGCTGTGTAGGTCAGGCTTGTTTTATTACTATCTGTTATTACTAGTGTTTACCACTAAAAGAAACATAAGTAAGGTTTATATGGACAAACATTCCATAGCAGTTCCTTCTCTATAGTTACATCATTTCATATAATCCTGGAAGTCTTAATGCACACACACAACTAAATTGTGACTATAAAATGAGATTGTTTCTTTTTTCTCTTCTCTTTCCTTCTCCTCTCAACAAACCTCCCAGACTTTATGTATCCATATGAGCTTTGGTTCCCTTGAAGGGGAGTTAACAGTCACAAGATGAGCACTAGAAAAACCATTGCAATCGGCTTCCATTGTGCAGTATACATTTTGGTGTGCCTGTTTAAAGATATCTGTCTCCATATTTATGGCTCCCCTGTGAGTGTGTGTTTGTGGATGTGTCAGTATAAAGTGCGGGCCTGAGGGCTTCCAGTGGGCTGCAGCTTGCCTGCTACTGTTGCTCCAGGTATTTCTTCTGCAAACACCCAAAGACCCATTTAGTACTGCATGCACGAACAGACCCCCAAAATCAGCCCCCATCCTGCATTCCAGCTCATGATGACCCTTTTCTTTTGCTCTTTTTTCTCAAGTTTCAACCCTCCCATGTCCCCTTGCCCTCCCCCCACACACGTGTCCCTTTCCACACCACCTACCTGACCTGCACTCCTCTCCCAACACTCTGGCCATAAATAAATACTTACTTGTATAATGAATTGATGAGCAAAGGAAAGAACCATGGGACACCCTGCCCACACATAACCAACTAGTTCTTAGGCAGCAACTACTTCACTGAGGTCGGGGCTGCTATGACTGACATAGGAGAGGCAGAATGGTGTGTATAGCAGAAGGCACAAAAGCTTTATGGCCAAATAGACCTGGATTCAAATCCTGGCCCTCAGTAGCTTATATAAACTTCTGTAAAATAGAGCTAATACCCACTTCATAGAGTTATAAGGGAGATTAGAGATAATGTGCAGGAAATGTCTGGCATATAAGAGAAACACAATCAATGCTATATGTTATGATAAACGTCTATATGTAACAAACCTGGCCTGCCTCCCTCCTTTATCTATGCTACTGACTAGGGGTAGAAAGGTAAGAAGGAAACCCATTCTTCACTTTGTTGAACCTGTGTCATCCATGTGCCCCCATGTTTTCAGAGCCTCTAAATTTGTCCCTGGAGTTAATCCTTATCTGCCTGACCTCTTGGTGTCCCAATCCCAGGCACCCCACTCCCTGATGAGGAAAAGCTTGGGCAGTAATCTTGCTCTAGCCAAATGGCTGTTCTCTAGCACCATCGTCTCAAGTGAATCCCCAACACTGCTGCCACGTTATCCATTTCAACAGGAGAGAGATCAGTGAACTCTTTCATTATATACCTCCCGTATTCACAGCACTGTGCTGGGATTGTTGGCTCCTGTCAGAGACTGAAAGACACCTTTAAGATGCCACTGTGCAAAAGCTAAACATACAGAAAGCCCAATAAAAAATGCCTAGGGTGGCAGGGAAGGTGATATTACAATGCAACTGAACTCAAACCTAGCCTCTGTTCCCACCTCTGATACCTGTCTGCTCCTGCTGGTTCTCAATTTTGTTTCATCTCTAGACTGTGGATTTCTGACTCCAGCCTGAATGGTTTTAGGTTTTAGGTTTTAGAGCTGGGCTTGAACCCTCAACACTAGCCCTAAGGCTACTCTCTCACCAATAAAGACAACTTATTAAGAATCTCCTGAGCCAGGGATTAATTTAGGTGCTTTATGTAAATGAGGTTCCTAGATTATGGTCTAAACTTGATATCCAAGTGAGAGCATCTGATACTGACCTGGCACAGCCCTAGTCTCTGACTCTGCCCAGCCTTCTCATTCCAGGAGCTGACCTCAAGGGATTGTGTAGCCCAAAATATAAACTGGTTTATCAGTCAGTCATTAAGTATGTACTAAGCAGCCAGTTTGCCCAGCCTGTACTAAGCACTATAAGAAATACCAAAGAAGTATATGACATGATCCCAGCCTCTAAGGAACTTGAAATATTCAAAGACAGAAAAGACCAGCTCATGTGAAGTCATTAAATATAAATAAAAAACAGTACAGAGTCCAGTTCTCAACTATGCACAGCAGAGTCTCCAACCTTTTAAGGAGAGTTTGCCTCAGAAGTTTGTACCTTCTCAAATACTGTTAATAGGAAAGTAAATTGGCAAATTTTTTTCAGCAGGACTATTCAGTAGTATCTCTTAATGTTTATACATTTCATAGCCATTGACCCAACAGATCTACTTCTATCAAGAAATAGTAACACAAAAGTTCAAAGATATATGTTCCAAGATGTTTACTATAGCATTGCTTATAATTGCAAAAGTTAGCAAACAAAAAATTCTTTATTGCATAGGAGTACTATGCAACTATTAAAAATAAGGAGATATAGCATATATACAGAAAGAGCAGACCATTGCCTTTCTATATGTGTATATATTTCAATAAAAATTTTACATTAAAATTTAAGTTTTGGGGCACCTGTGTGCTCAGTCAGTTGAGCCTCTAACTCTTGATTTCAGCCCATGTCATGATCTCAGGGCTGTGGGATCAAGCCCCATGTAGGAGTCCATGCTGAGCGTGGAGTCTGCTTGAGATTCTCTCTCTCTCTGCCCCTCCCCCATCTCAAAAAAAATTAAGTATCTATGTGCTGATATGCAAGTATGCCCAATATGTTAAGTTTAAAAACCCAGTATCTAAATGTTTATAAAATCCAACTATCCAATCTATCAAGCAAAAAACCTTATTTTGTGTATGTGTATATGTATATGATTTTGTATATGCATATTTTAGAAGTCTGGAAGGATATTTACCAAACAGTGTCACCTCTGGGGAGTGAGGGTGGTGAACAAACTTTTAAGTTTTATTTTATACACAATTCTTTAATGTCTGAATTAATTACAAGAAACATTAATTTTAGAACTTAAAAAATTAAAATTTAAAAAAGTATTGTAAGGCTCTATATTTGTTCAATATGGCAGAATGACCACATGCATTAATTTGCTCTCCCTCCTAAGACACTATTAGAATTATAGTAGAGGGATTTATTTTTTTTTAAGATTTTATTTATTTATTTGTGAGAGAGAGAATGAGAGAGAGCACATGAGAGGGGGGAGGGTCAGAGGGAGAAGCAGACTCCCTGCCGAGCAGTGAGCC